ATTTGAGTCTGATTATATGCTAGAGTAATTGTCTGAGTTTGCAGTTTCAGAACATTGTTTTCACTGACATTCTAACATTTTCAATTACTGTAGAATAGGAAATGAACTAAATTAAATTTCAGTTCATGAATCTCTTAAATTACTTTCCAGGTTTAAACTATTTATATAAATTTAGATTATACTAATTCAGATTCACCTTCTATGCACTTTCACTATCCCTTGAAAGAGTTAGGGTTAAAGAATGATAATAACACAGAACTGAATATGAAAATTAGAAATAAATCTTTAGCAATAACAGAATACTATGAATGCTAAACCAGTGCATCATGTCTGAGAAATGTATTAAATATTTCGTTTCTCAAACTGAAAAGTAAATCTTGAGGTCAATGAAAAGAATATTTTAAAGCTACTAACTATGCTTTCTAAATATAGAGGATGAGAAATACAAATTAAAATGTTAAACCTACATTTAAAAAAAAATCCATCTATGCACAGTCCTAGATCTGCAGAAGCTGTGTGGAATGGAACACAGCTCATGTGCCTGAACTACTCTAGAAGTAATAATAGCCATGCAGAAGTCTGCTTTCAGTGAAAAAAATGGTCATGGATTCAAAATATGAACAAGTTACCATTAAGTTAAGATTTGTGCCTACGTAACATTCACTTTCAAAAAGACAAATTCTTCGTGAGTTTTTTTTCCAGCTTTCATTCCATCTTAGCACAGAAATGCCTAAGAATATCTAATTTCACATCACAAGGAAATGTAGGATAAAAATAAAAGACAAGTGTTGAGGAACTTACATGGAATTTCATTTTTAATCTATAGCAGTAAATCAGGAACAGGTCAGTGAAAGGCCTTCAGAAAGCTAAATCTAGCTGCAGAGCACACCAAAAATTTCTGAATGATTTTCAGCCTTTATAAACTCTGTAACTAGTTCTGCACGTTTCTGAAACACAGAGGAGTCTGTTGTGAGGCACAACAAAGTACTAAGTTGCCCAGTGCAGCCAAGCATGTTTCTACAGATGTGTCAGTAGTTCTGGATGGACTCTTCCACTGACTCATTACAATGCTTTTTAAGGCTTATTCTGGAGATAAGTGAAGCTTTGGCTTGTATTATTTACTGCACAGGACTGAGGGACCATGAAATTGCCCTAGAGTGCTTGATAAGCTGCTCCTCAAAAAAGTAGATGTTTGTACAAGGTTCAAAAGCAACTTCATGCTCAGACAGGCAACTGCCAGTGCAAGGGACCTTGTAAAAACCCTCAGGTCTGAGGAGACTACTGAGAGCAATTCTACACAGTGGTAGAATTCCTTACACTCATAACACCAGGATATTTGGGTAGATGGCATCATGAATATAGACACCTGTCATCAGGCACCATGAGAAGAAATGAGTTTTGAGATTTCAAGCTGATACTATGAAGGGAAAGAATGTTTCCTTCTCAGGTGTTTGGGTACTGAGAAAACTGTGAAATATAACAGAGAGCTGAGTGACCTGCAATCTGTACACTCATATAGATATTATATAGTAGCCAGCATTAGGCAGTACTCAAAAAACATATACAAAACATTTCTGTATGAGATGTGTGGTAAAGTGTGCAGAGATTATTTTAGTACAGAAAAATACTAAGAAAAGTGAGACTACTGAGTTCAAGGAATAAGGATTAAACAGAAGCAAGGAAGCACTTGTGTTCCAAGTCAGAGTGAGTTCAGTTCTCCACATGATAAGTGAAAATAGTTAAAATTCCTCTTGTGTCAGGACTGTGATAGGGGAGTGGTTAGACACAGCAGGGAGACTGTCTGTTTGTTATTCAAAAGCTGTATTGCATTTCTTATTTAAAGTTGCAGTCTGTTACTTCTACCAGACAGCTGTGTTTTGCTTTTTCTGCCTGTCAGTGTGTGGCATCAATAAGATTTCATTTTTATCTAAATGTCACTTTAACATTAAATGCTAGTGACACGACAGCACAAAGCATTGTTGTCTTTATACCAGAACGGCCAAATCTTCTACCTGAGCACTGAATGGAAGAAGTAGGTCCAGCTGTGAGAATCCCTATATCTACATCTTCTCTTCCCCACAAAAACCAGAGAGGTCTCAAGGAGAAAAGTTCTAATCACACAGAGGAAAAAAAAGATCCCTCAAATTACAAAACTGCAGTTATGAAAGAATAACTGACATTTTCTCAGTGAAGAAAAACAACTGCCAAATGAATCAGTTTTGGCTACAACCTATATAAACTTAATTTTTTACAAGCAGATGTCTACTAATGTCCTCTATTCTTAGGGAATTAAAGCCATCTTAAAAGTTCTCTTTGGTTCCTTGAATTTTACAAGCACTTCCCATAATGCTTAAAACAAAAAAAATTATTATAGACGGGGCAGAGAAAAACTGCTATTTTTGCAAACTATGTTTGAGAGGAGCAAGAAATAACATCAGGGAAAACTTGTACAGTTTTGGCTTCATTTTTAAGACTAAAATAATCCACTTTCTCATACTTAAAGACTTTCCTGTGTAATTGAAACAACATTTCTGATGGAATAATCTATTGACACCTGAGGTCATTCTCAGGTAAAAAAAATTTAGTCCTATCAAGCTGCTGTTGTCATTTCCTCAGCATTGAAATATAAATGTTCACAGTTCCCTGTGACAACAGTGTAGAGGTACTATAAGTACAGACACTTTCTATTATTCTCCCTAGCACATGATAAGGAAATGGCTTTATATAAACTTGTTTTACACAGGATAGATGAGTTTTCTTCTTTGTTCCTCTTGTCTTTCTCCTCCTCTGGTAGAGTTAGATTCATCTATTGCTCAAATTACAGTTTTATTGACTCTTATTCATACTTACCCCACAAACCTCAGGCTAAAATATTCTTCATTTTTCTGAAGCAGTTTCCTTAAATAAAATCATTATAATTTTATTCTTTAGTCAAAATGTTTTTTACTTTCTCAAAAGAGTTGAGAAACAGTACAGGTGTTTTATGATCCTTTCTGGTAGCTCTACCTATTGGGTTAAACCCATTTCCTTGAAAAAATCTATAGATCATCAGATTTCATTTAGAACTGGAATCCTTTATAGATTTCCTTTTAATATCTGCTTATATTTGATTTCTACAATTTATACAAACATCTCAGATTCTAAATTTATAGAATTTGGTTTTATTATGTCAGTAATGAGATTCTGAACAGAGATAAAAGTTTTTTTATCCTCATTTCTGTTCTCAGTAATCATTAGCTTTTCCTTCTGTTATATTTTTAAATTTAGCATTATCTTCAGAACTCACAATATCAAAAAAAGTGTGAAGGTAGTTGCACAGAAATGAAAAAGTAAACACATTAGTCTTTTTAATAACACATTGCAGTGTAACTTCTTAATTTCAATAGCATTGATAGGAAGAAAAGTACTACAACAACCTACAATTAAGGGCAGGTGATTTGCTACCTGTGGGTAGCAAAAAGTCAGCAACCAGGCAGGAAGTAACCCAAACTAATTTACCATTAGATTTATTAGATCATCACTTTTCCTATGTCTCTCTAATATTCATTATTCAATTTCATTCATTCATATATATTTCTCATTTCCTTCAGTGAGACAATATTTTAACATGCTTTTAATTTTTTTTTCTTTGTTTTAGTGATTTTAAAGTATCTGGAATTATATTTCAATCTGAAAAGTGAATAAATAAACTGAAGAGCAATTTTTCAGGGAAGTTAATTCCAGGTGTAAACTACAGCCTTATTAATCCAAAAATATATTTATCACTTTGTGTTTGATGTACTTACCAAATGCAAAATGGACACTGAATTGGAACTGCACCAAAAACTCCAAACCCATCAAATAATGAGTATAAATTTCTGGTATATCTAATGTTTAATATATTGTTAGATTAAACTCTTTCAGAAAAAGAATGTGAGTAGGCACTACAACTGGTTTTCAAAACATTGTAAATTATTTTAAAAAAATTTTAAAAATTATGTAAGCTGAAAAGTCCCACATTGAAGGGTTTGGAAATAACAGTTATGGCTGATGGAAATCACCTGGTTAGACGGTCACTATCTCAAAATTTATTATATTGAATTTGGATTCCAAAAATACTGTAAAATGTAAGGAATTGGACTGTATTTATAAATGGGGACATATGATCATATATGATAAAATAAATCAGATACTTGGCAACAACAACAAAAAAGAAAAAATGTTATGAACACATAGGAAACTGAATTTTGCTTTGCTACACAGTATTAAGATTACTGTTATAAGACCACGTCAAATTCTGTCTACACTACACAATGTGAAAATACCTGGAAGAATAAAAAACAGATTCAAAACCAATCAGTCAGGAAAATAAGCCTTAAGACACAAATTATCATTTCTTGCCTTGCACAGAAAAATATGAGACTGGAGAGAAAATATTATTAGAATTGCGAAGTAAAGTATCACAAAATCAGGCTACTGAATGTAGAAATGAGGCAAGATTCCATCTTTAAATAATATGACTTTTCTCAACAGTAGATGGAACCCAAGTAGGATTTGAAAGCAACTGATTCAAGACCCTTGAAATCAGAACCCATAAAATAAGATTATTTTTAAAACAGGTTTTCGGTTCTTTTCTATCAAAGGCAAAATTCTACGGTTTCTCTAGGCAAATCAGAGTAGATTTCCCTAGTGGTTCTTTCATGGTTCTGTAAGAAAAAACCTCTAAAGGTACAATGATAAAATTTAAGATTTATCAGGCACAGAAGAAAGACAGAAGGGGAAGTGAATGATTTCTACTTATTCCACAGCTAGTTTCAGTCCAGAGGGAAACCAGCAGATCTACTAGAAAGAGCTATGATTACATTTCTGTGCCACAGTATGTTGTGGTGCTTTGCTCTGCAGGATTCAACACAGTACCTTCTAGGAAATTGTCTTCACCATGCCATGATGAATCACTACAGCTGAAAAATAAACATTTCCTCACAAAGCAGTCGATGAGATCATATTTATGAACCACTTACTTGTGTAGGTCAGCTGAAATCCTTGGTCAGTATCAGATCCATTGGTATTAAACTCAATCCACATATGGTTAGAGGTGCTATTAAGGATAACTCCCATCATGTCATTTTTGGTGAAGGCTCCCAGAGACCGTGAAGAACTGTCTTTTCCATCATACACCTTTAAGAAACAACAGTGTTAAACTGGACATCAAATCTAAGTATTTGAAAAAATTTAGTTTACCATTATACAACACTTCCAAAATTGGCTATATATTGCCAATAGTTTTCCCCAAAACTTCATATTTCTATTTTGTGAGGTACTTACCCCTTGGTTATACAGTTCAATGAAATCTAAAATGTTCTGTCTCTTTTAAGGTGCTTTTTAGTCTTTTTCCTTTCCAGTTTTGTGAGCTCATCTTGAAAGAAATTAATATTTACACAGAACTCTATCTTCTGAGGTTTCATAAACTCAGATTGTTTTTTGTGATTATTCACAAAGGCCAACAGCAGTATAAGTTCTGAAATTACTTATAAGGGTTACTGAAGGTGAACTTGTAAGGGTTCACTGAAGGTGAACCCTTACAGCCTACTTTGTTCCCTCCTGTCTGGATATATCAACAACAGAGCTGAGGTATTACAGTCAATCTGTCACTTTTTATTTCAGATTCTAAGCTTGTAGCAATTTTTGGGTTTCTATAGCTTTTAACAAAAGAAAGATAGGTCTTCAAAAAGTCTATTTCCAAACTAACTGTGGAGATGTCCTTATTTACTATGTTACTGTATTGAAAACTTTCAATGGAGGAAAAAAAATCAACAATACCAACCTCTGCTTTTTGAAATCCTAGACTGAATAAGAATGCCCTTTTAAATAGTCACCAACACAGGACAAGTACCAACTCTTGGCTTAGGGGTTGAAGTTTTTTGTTGCTTATTGCAAAACCATGAAAGCCATAAAGTAGAAAATAACCTCTTCTGCTTTTGTTTTGTTTTGTTTTCTCAAGATGAACTAAAAAAGCTAATTTCTTCTTTCTATTAAAAAAACCAGCTGTACGTTCTCATGGAAAAAATAAGCAATATGAAGTGTGTACATATATACCATACATGAAATATCATGTCAATACTTATACAAAAGCAAGTAATGAATTTGAACAGCTGATTTCTGATATGAAGTGAAAGATAATTTGCCCTTATCTCATATATCCTAGAGTGACTATAGGCAACTAGTGCAAAAGCTACAATTACAGGAAATATTTCAAGCTCTGGATCTCCATCTCTTCACTAGCAGACCTTGTGGTGCAGTGAGGATTTATACTGATTCCAGCCAGAGGCAGAAAATGACCCATTTAGCAATATAAATTCGACATTTGAGTCACAGACACTTCTTCCTATATGAATGTCCAGTTAGATGTACTAATAAAATTTAGAAAGGCATCTTTTAAGAGGACACACCATTGCAACATTTGTAGGTGAGGACCAACAATTAAAAGTAGTTCTATTTTCTCTGTGAAGAAAATATCAGCATGCCATCAATATACAAAAATGTCTTGAAAGTACCATGTTTCTCTCAAGTGTCCACATTAACAAAATAAAATAATAAAAACAATATGTAAAAGATTTTTTTAAGAAAGGAGCATACATTTATTTTAATAAACATACATAGATATAAATAATTACCTTCTCCAAAATAAGCTTTTGAAAAATTATATATTATGCTACCCATTGATAAAACAATAGATCCTTGTTAAGGCAAAGATCGTCTTATATCACATAGAGGAGATGTATCAAAAGATACAATCAATTGTAATATTCATAAATGCAGTAACACATATTTAATGTCTGCCTCTTGGCAGAAATATGACTTTAAGCTCTACTTAGAGTATCTGAAATATTGCTTTCAAGCTTCTAACCATCGTTGTGGGACCGAACTACAGATCACTTTCAAGGACTGATTACACTTTACTTATCAGAGCTGGAAACCTATTGTACAAAGTAAATGAGCATTTGTTCCCCATAACACTTATTTCCACAGATATACTATATTTGATTGATGGGATAATACTTTGAATGGAAATTTCTGTTAATTACCATTAATTAAAAATGCTACCTATGTTTAAAAAGTGATTTTTTTCTATAAAACAAAAAAAGTGTAAATATTACAATTGTCCCCTAGACATCTTGTTACAACAGTATTCTGCCTCTCTGACTATTACAGATACTCTTCCTACCTGAGGATTAACAAATTAAATAATAGTATCTCTCAAGATTAATACATACACAAATAAATCAGTGTTTTATGAAATTAAAATTAGATAAGAGACATCATGTGACAGCAGCTGTTAAAAGAAGAAAAAAAAAAACAGTGACAATTTGTACCTGTGACACTTGTCCAGCTGTAGTTAATGTTACAGACATAAGTAGGAACATAACTACTCTAATAATTGAAACAGTGTTCATGAACAAATACAAACACTGAATCTCCCTTTCTTTTACTGAAGAGTTGTTTGAATCATCCCTAGGGAAAAAAAAAGCTTTTTGCCTAACAATTCTTTGCCATGCTAATTATTGTGGGCCAGGGATCATTCCCAACAGATAGCTTCTGTGGAACCATTGTGTTATGTCATATGTAACTGACTCCAGAGGCAGAGAATATATTTAATACACTAGTCTAGACATGATCACTATTTATTCATATTTAGAGTGTATGTTTAAGTCATTTGAGAGAATACATTTGAAATATAATTCACATGCTGCAATTACATGCTCTATCATGAAGAAAAAAGGAAGATCTATTTGGCCAAACAGATGAAAGTCGGAATATCACATTCTGGTTTTCCTCTTACCTCTAACAAATTCATTGTGATTGCGTTATAAAGATTTGTGCATAAGCAGCCACTTCAAAGAATTATGAAACTTCAGGTGGCAGTTAAAACAGGGAGTTCAGGAAGATGAAGTGTTAGTGAGCGAGGAAGATAAGCTTCAAAATAAAGTGATAATCCGAGTATTCAGTTAGGCCATATGCCCTTCAAAATGGTGAGACTGTTTCTATTACTTTACAGGAATTCAAATTTCTATCCCGCTAATTCAAGTTCAAATTTTGTCAGAGCAATAGAAAGCTTTGCCCACAAATTACAGTCATTAACCTGCATGCATTCCTCTTGAAAGTGATAGTTTTGACCCTTCCTCCTGCACTAGTCTTATTGATGCCAGAAATAGTCTTGCAAATTATATGCTATTCCATGTGCACCTCAGCCTCAATATCCAGCCTCAATATTCCCACTTGACTACCAAGCTGAATATATACAGCTATAGGTAGTTTATATTTTCAAAGCAAGTAAATAGTGACACGGTAGGAGTCCAGTCACAACAACTTGATTGTCTGCACAGTATTTATTGTCAGTACATCTGGAACACATTTAATGCAGACTTACTAACACCCTCACAAATCTTCCCTGAAAAGGCATTAGTGGAGGAGCTGCATAGGCCAGGGACTGTTTCTGAGAGACAGTTTGAGTGAGTCATCTTGTTGTGTAAGATTAGAGAGCTTAACATTACAGATGTAGTCAAACTGCAGAAGCTGGTCCTGGGGACAGCGGGGAATGATCACAGCATTGTTTGGAGCGCTAGGATAAATTTAGCCAGATTCAGAGATGCCCCATTTCACCTAAATGTTTGTGAGGAATAAGAAGCATGTTTGCTTTACTTGCTGGGATTAAAACATTCAGACAAAAGAGGAGAACAGTGCTACAGTTATTTATGAGGCAAAATGCTCCAGTAACAGTGTTAATGTATCTACACCTGCTGTGGAAATGTAAAACACTCACCTGAAAGTGAAGGAAATGCTGGTTAGAGTTTCCTAAGGTTCAGTTTCTCATTCTGACATCTTACAACTAAGTGTAGCAAATTTCCTTAATTGCAGAGATCTTTATGGCATAAAATCATCCCAAAGGGAAATGCTTTTAAAATATTGCTTTGATGGCTTGGGAAATAAATCCTGTATAGCTTGCTGTCATTGGTTTGGTTATTCCCATGTAAATTTCAAAATCCCTTCATTAAATCCTCATGGAGTTCTTGGTGATCTCACCTCAAACAAATAGTGCTTTCTCTGACCTTCCTGGTGGGTTGACCTCGGTATTATTACATTATTATTATTATTTCAGTTTTGACTCAGTCCTCTTTATCTCACACTACTGAGCAACATTTTTTGCCCTTTCTACATGTGTTTCCCCAGCCCTCCCCTCGGCTGTGGGTTCAGCCGTGCCTTGCAGTGGGTGTGTCAGAGACAGCTGGAACTGACTGTGTCCTGCACGGGGCAGCTCCCGCTTCCTCTCACAAAGCCCCCCCTACAGCCCCCACAGCCCACACTGGGCACCTGCATCTAATGCTACATTACATACGCATATATCTTTCTGCTAAAACAGAGTGAGATATTCAGCTGGGAAAATGCCCTGTATTTCAGCACAAGGTTTGTAAATATTTTTAAGCCTTAGTGCATCCCTTGCAAGCTGCCTGAAAGGCAGTCCTGGGGCTTTCTGCGATGCAGGCACAAAATAGAAGTCTGGTGTTTATAACATATTTTGCTCATATTTTGGGTGCAGATGGGAAAGAACGCAACTTCGACATCTACAGCCCTGCCAAAGGGCTGATTCCAATGGAAATATGTAAAAGGACATCCTGGTATGGGAATGGAGAGGAAATAGACTTTATTTTCATAAGTGCAGGTTATAGAGAGACTATAGTGGAAAAGAGCCTAATTGTATAAATGGCAGTTGTGCTGTGCCAATTGTCTCAGAACCGGAGAACTGGCCTCGCAGTTCAAACATCAGCAAAATTTTGCCTTTACTTCCTTTGGATCCTCAGGAGTATTATGCTAACAGATCTATGAAAGAAGTATCTAACAGATTGCTCCAGAACAGCTTTCTTTCAGGCAAATCTTTCTTATATCTCCGAGGAATATCTTTAAGTATGCTCAACATTACTCATGAAATGTTCTGAAGGATAATTGAGTTTCTTGAATGTTTCTTTAGGGTTTTCTAAAGGTTTTTTGTTGTTGATTTTTAGGTAGTTTATTAAATTATTTATAAACCATATATGTGCAAAGCTTCTGGGAGACATGTATCACATTCAAGCAACTCAGTGGGCAATTAAGTGCTTTCTTGGGTTATACATCTGTTCAGAGAAAAAATACTTTTGGGGATCTGCACTGTCAGACCATGGATAATGGGAACAAAGGACAATATAGACCACATATTTTGCTCACCTACTCAATTCCCTTTAATCTAAAAGCAAAACCATAGACCAAGGTCTTGCAGTGTTTTATACAAGGTGGCCACACAAGCATGTAGGAGTTTATCATCAATAATTTAGTGGGAAAAGATGGAGAAAATGCCATTCTTTTTATTGTAACTTTCTGATGTTATTGGGGGATTCTCAAAACTTTGCATATTTCATGGTCAAATGTAAACTGTACTTGTTGAAAAGCACAAATATAACAACAAAAATACAAGCATCTATATTAAAACTATTTTTCTTTTCCCCTCCTTGCCTCATCCTATCTCTAAATGCCTTGTTCTTTGCAGGAAATGCATAACTTTGAATTGAATTTTCACACTTAATTACATAACGAATATTTTAAGATGACAAAATGGATAAAAATATAGCCACCAAAATTTGATCCATAGCAATGATATCTTTAAAATCCTTTTGGGAAGCATTCAGTGCAAATTAAAAAAAAAAAATCAATGTTAAAATGTAGACAGCAATTTCTAACATGTTAAATGGGGTGCTGGGAGATCTCCAGAAAGGAAGTTGCTAACTGAATTCTAAATATTTTGCGATTTTAAGTGTTAATTACCTGAAAAATTTGGGGACATAAATTTGAAAGACTAACTTCATTTATGGTCAATACTTCTCTCTATTTAAATGAGTAAATTAATTATTTGAACAAAAACCCAGTGGTTCTGCTCAAGACAAAAAAAAAATGCCCTGTGCTACATAAAATAATACTATGTATTCAAATTCCAAGTTCACATTTTATGCTTTCTTTTTACATTTTAAACCATTGTAAACAGTCTAATACTTCTAGAAATGTAATTGAACTCTTAAACCTATAGTTTCTTTGAATCTAGTATAAATCATTGACTCTAGTATAAAGGAAGTGATGCTGTCCACTTAGAATTCGTTAATTTTGGGTCAGAAAGTGGAATGAAAATAAAGATAATTGGCACTAAAACCAGATTTGTTCATGCATTGTGAATGTTTAACATGACAGAAAGTGGAATTATTTTCTTATTACCTTAACAATATCTCCTTCATGCAGCTGAAAGCTCCTGGCTCTAAGATGGATCCCTTTTCCAGCCTCTGTTTCAATTTTATAGATACATTCATGGTTATTGTCATAATTAGATGGAAAATTTGGAGACAACAATGTTCCTTCATTTCCAGAGACAGTTGCTCCACATTCAGCTAAAGAAAACAGACACATGTAAAATAGAAAAAAAAAAAAAAAAAAGTGAATTATCCATTTCAAAAAAATACAGGTTATTAGCAGTAATATTTAAACTCTATGAAAACTCTGACAGGCTATCTAGGAAAAGTATATTTCTAACACATCTCTGTAGGAACAACTCCTAGAAACCCTATCAAAGTTGCTATCTCCTGCATTTCACTGAGTCTCTTTACTTTATGCACTTATCTGCTTTTACCTCCAATTTATCCCTTGGTCTTCCCATTAGACTAACCAATAACGCAGGTTAGCCTAGATACCATAAACACTGAACATCTTATTGAGGTATAGTTATTGCGGTAACATTTCAAATAACCATAACATTGATTTTACTTCTGTATTCAGCTTTACAAATAAGTATTAGAAAAAGCAGACAGTAAGCTGTTGGGGAAAAAAAAAAAAGAATCTGGTAATAAATCAAGATCATTCAACTATGTTTTATTCTCTACCTGGAATAAAACCAAAAAACTAAAAATCAAATAAACATTTATTGATATTAGTCAGGGCTAAGCAGATAGATCCTTTCTTTTCTGGGTAAAGAGAGGGTGAGTCTTTTTCACAGCTGTCTGTAGTAAGCACCTATTAACACTTTCATTAGACATTTTTTTGTTGGAGCTCCCCAGTAAAGACAATAAAAAAGTGTAAGAGGAGTGGTGTGTTCCAGCCCATGGACTCAATTTGAATTCAGAATAAAGACTAGAAAAATATTCCAAATATGCAACATAAATTTCATCACATAGATGAAAACATCCAGAGAGCAAATAATATTGGTGTTGTTCAAACAAGTATTCAAAATGCTTAAAAATGGCCTAAAAAGACCTTACAAATCCCACAGTAATATTAACATACCAACTATTAATCTACAACTTTTTTTAAGGTGCACAAGATTGATATTTGCATCTGTTCAGTCTAGGGATAAAATATACTGGGTTATTTTGACATAAATACCATTTAAGCCTCATTCAGAGTTTGTTAAAAACTTGTTATAACAGTTAAAATAATAATGATAAATTAACGTCTAATTGTAAATCAACAGATATGCTCTATCAAAGAAGCTATAGGTTTAGAAACAAATCTGTATTCTTTCAAAAAATGTTAAATTGACTTTTAGGCTTCATATGACATTAAAATATTTGCTTGAGGAACTTCAATTGCATTGCAAAATTCTCTGAACTCAAGTTGGCACTCATATACCTCTAATCTACGCTAATAAACCATAGTCTGTTTTCAGCACACATTATTCCTTTTCAAATAGATTGCAAATATCTGACAGCTATGCAGTTTCATCAGGCCCCATCATTCCCTTCATTATCATGACAAAACAGTTGCTCATGTCCTCTGACCAGTCAAGTTTCCTTGCTCATCTTCTGTCAGTCAGTAAATCACTGACATAGACCCCAAAAAGAGGTTTTCAAAGGAAATCAAGTCTTCTTTGTCAACTTCCCTTCCTCAGTTTATGCAAAACATATCACAGATCAGGTTTAAGGATCTTATGCAAGGACTTTAATTGCGTATTTTTTCTAACCATTTTTGCGCACTGCAATCCAGACCACACATCACGTAATGAGGGACTAGAAATTCAAAAGAGCAGCCATCAACCACAATACTGAGCCTGGTCTTGACAGCAGGAAAAGTTTATGCAGTCAAAGGCATCTCTCCTCTTCAAGGCCCTAATATTTTACCCAGTGGTATAGGAAAAGTCATGCTTTTTCTTTAAAAATATTTACAGTAGTTGATACTGCTGCTGCTTTTTTAAGTAGTAGCTAAAATGTGCAGCCAAAATGTGTGACACCTAAATTCAATTCACTTTGACTCTGGGGATTTGAACATGCCTTTCCTATGATCTGTCTCTCACATAAAGAGATTAGAATATCAGTCACAAAGTAAGTGTTGACTACCCTCTTTAGCATAATGGGCAGGGCATCAAACAGGGGAGAAGGAACACTTCTTCGAGGAAATACATACATTAAAGAATTGGGGAATCAAATTCTGGAGTAACTCATGAATTGACACTCACTGTAACCATGTGAGCACCAAAGTACTAGACAAGAAAAATATATCCATGTTCATATCCATTTTCATCACCACCCATTAATCCTCTCTATGCAAAATAAACAATAGCCTTTAACAACAATGGCATGATGATTCTGCTAGCAAGGATAAGATACAATTTAAATTGCTTTTACATAAGCAAAGGAAATGAAGCCATGGAAGTTTTGTGTTAAGAAGTGATATGGCTCATCCACCTATAGCAACTAAGAAGCAAAAACTGCCAATCAGTCTTGAAATATGTCATGCAATATTCTGTATCTAGTATGTATTCTATGAATAGATTTTAGTGTCTCAAGTTAAGCAGACAAATATTATCTTATGATCTTGAAAGAGCTCTTTAGTTTTTGACTGCAGAGGACACTTCCTTACTTCAGTGCCTTCCAGATACCTTATGAGTTCCAGAGACCTGCCTTCATCTTGACAGAACGCCTGTCAAACCCCACCCCCTGCCCCCATCAGGAGCATCTGCAGCTCAGAGAGATGAAAGAGAAACGATTTCTCATTCCCTCACATGAGAAAAACATTTTGTAACTGTTTCTCATTTCGTTTATTAAATATAATTCACTGAATATTAACCATATGTACTCTTCTTTGATAAAAATCAACTATATCAGTATTAGTATCTAAAATTCTTAAATTATGCAAACATTGAGAAGCCCAGAGTTTTCCAGGAGAATTAATCTTTACTGATCTTAAAGTGATTACTTCTTCCATCATTCTGTCTTCATACTTTGGTCCACAAACTTGTGTGGGAAAAATCAGTGTGAATTTAGGTGAACAAGTATTCCATAACATACCCACTGAACATGCTCTATATAAATAATATTTTCAGGAATAGCCCCTCCAACTGTAGCCTATAAAAAAAGGAATATATTTCCTAGTGTGGTTATGTGATATGCTTGGTCTAGTATAATATGAGTACAATGTAAGAATGTAAAATCTGTATATGATATAATAAATTGATGTAGAAAGAGATAGCACTGAAATATGTATTTTGATGCAATAGAGATCCCTTCTTTATGTTGCATGACTACCTTTTTTTTTCTGTATTAATCTATTTAATTTTTCAAGATATAAAATAAATTGATTCAAAGTTCTAGCTTTTTTACTATCAATATAGTCAGTGGCACCTCAATTGAATCTGTAGATTAAACAATAAAGATCCAGTTCTCAATTCATATATTTCAATTTAATCAGGTATGTGATGAAAAAAAACAAAAATATGTGTAATCCAAGATATTTTTCAAAAGAGAATACATACAAAAAGTCTGCTTGGAGCAAAAAGCAGCAAACTAAATAAAAAAACCCCTGTGAATTAGAAAACCATAAAAGAAAAGAAAAAAGTATAGTTCATTAGAGGACATAAGAAATGACTCAAAGCTTCCGTTTGCATGTATAGGAGAGACTTTCCTTTAGGAAGGACATAAGGGGATTGTTGCAACTTGTGGACTATTCTTTTGAGTCTGAGGGAGAAAGAAAGAGGAAGGAAGGTAAGAAGGGAGGGAGGGAGGGAGGGAGGGAGGAAGGAAGGAAGGAAGGAAGGAAGGAAGGAAGGAAGGAAGGAAGGAAGGAAGGAAGGAAGGAAGGAAGGAAGGCACATTGTTGCAGTAGTAACATGAAATAGCACCTACTGTGTTCTGACAAGATCTATAAAATTAAGAGGCTGTTGGTGTATTAAAACACATCTAAATTGCTTGTTAAATAACTTAAAATAGAACATCATAAACAAAATTTGTTCTCTAAATGTCAGCAGCTTACATGGTTCTAATTTAGATTCTTCACTTCCCAAATCTGACAAGCTATGGAAGTCTGCTGAACTATAGCATCCAAAAGACAAGGATGCTTAAACTCATTGTCTTTTTAAAGAAAAAATCTATATATTACTGCTTCTATGTTTCAAAAGGTGGAAAACAAACAAAAGAAAATTAATCAAGTTCCCTATTACAACTTTTAAATCTTGTATATTTTTTAATTGTATTTATTTATTATAAATCAAAAATACCCACCTTAGAATTCAAAAAGTATACTCTTTTTGATTCTATACCATCTATCTCCACAAATAAAAGGTTTTAGAGAAGGAACTACATGCTTTATTTTTACTACAGTTTCTCAGTTCTCTGTTATAACCTTTTCAAGGACTGTAGCAGACTGAAAAATGCTACTTTATCAAGCTCTTCTTTTACTCCCTTTCAGTGAGAGCAATCTGTCTGGAACGGGTACTTGACCCCATTGTTTGTTCTTTTCCTTAATAAAGTCACTTAGATTCCAATTATATAAGTAACTTTTTTTTCTTCTTTCATTGTCTCACTTGAAATTCGATAAAAGGAAACTGCAGAGGGTAGATCTTTTGAAGATCACTGAACGCTTCCTGAATATGAACACAAACTGTAATACAAACAAAACTCACGGATTCTTGAATTGCTTTGAAATACAGTTCATGTAAAATGTAACAATAACTTTGTTTAATGGAAAAGTTTGCTTTACTATTTTTCTTTCATATATCTTGCTGAAAGGTTTGATAGAATTTTAAGCAGATCTCCAAAGCAGAGATCAAATAAAAGTAGTACATTGTCAGTTTAAAGGCTTCTCTGTCACAAAGCACTCTGCTGAGTGCAGAATACCTCTTGTATTTACAAAATTGTGCAGCAGTTCATAAAATATGAGAAGAAGCAGAGCTCAGACAGTCAATATTTTTTTATGTTTCTGTTGGACAGTACTGTTACCCAGTAGGATGGTCATGCAGTATTAATACAGGAGCAAAAGGGATCACAGATAAAACTGAATCAAGCATCATGTGCTTTGTCTTCAAAAAGGAAAAACTTAGGGTTTCTCCACAGTCATTAAGGGCTCTCCAAAGCTGAGCATGTGACTTCTGCATGGCAGACACAACACATGACTGGACTCAAGC